GAAATTCAGTGCTGGTGATTCTGATCTCAACGACGCTTCTTGGTCAAGGAGGCCCACTGAGGTTGATGACAACAAAATAAAGGCATTGATTGAGTCAAACCCACATTACACGATACGAGAGATTGCATAAACATTGAACATCCATCATTCAAGCATTCACGACCACCTGAAGAAGTTGGGATACATACCGTATTTGCCGGCGTATAAGACGACTGGGCGTATAAGACAACCCCCTAACATTTCCACTCAAAATACAGAGTTTGTTATATGGTCGGCTGTGTGCGATTTTGCGAGTGTGGTAAAATCGCATAACAGCAAAATCGCATAACAGCCGAGCATACACCCAGCAGCGCTGCTGATGCCTGAACGGTATGTGGAATGAAGTGGGCGGGCATCGGGAGGCCACTATGGCCGGGGCAAGCACTATGGGCAGTCTATCTGAAGTGTACCTGGCGTATAAGACGATCCCCCACTTGGAGGCATATTTTTCAGGGCCAAAAAGTCGTCTTATACGCCGGCAAATACGGTAAGCAAGCTTGATATTTGGGTTCTGCATGAACTCAAAGAAGTTCATTTGACAACACATATAAACATCTTTGATATGCTCATTAAATATGAGGAAAACGATCCTTTTTTGAAGCAAATGATAACTGGTGATGAGCAGTGGATTGTTTGCAACAATGTGGTGCGCAAACGGTCTTGGTCCCAACATGATGACTCGCCTCAAATGACATCAAAAGCAGACATTCATCAGAGGAAGGTTATGCTCTCAGTGTGGTGAGATTTTAAAGGCATCGTGTTTTTCAAGCTCCTACCAAGGAACCAACCAATTTGAATGCGTACTGTCAGCAATTGGACAGTTTGAATGAATCCATCATCCAGAAACGTCCAGAGCTTGTTAATTGTAAAGGAGTTGTGTTCCATCGCGACAGTGCGAGACCACACACAAGTTTGATCACCCGTGAAAAATTATTGGAGCTTGGATGGGATGTGTTGCCACACCCACCATACTCCCCTGACCTTGTGCCGTCAGACTTCCACTTGTTTCTCTCTCTTCAAAACTCCTTGTGCGGTATAACATTCAATTCAGATGAGGCTGTAAATCAGCACCTTGTTCAGTTTTTCGCAAATAAAGACAGGTCCTTCTATGAACAAGGAATTATGAAGCTCACTGAAAGATGTCAAAAGGTTATCAAACAAAACGGGCAACATATTGATTGATCTTTGTTGTTTATATAAATAAATGACCTTTAAAAAACATAGACAAAATACATCATGACTTTTCCGATAACCCAATATTTCCTCCCAGTTGTTCTTAAACCCACTCCAATGTTTTCACTCTTCATATCCATCTTATCAAGATCACCAGTGACCTTCCAGTTGCTAAATCAATGGCTGCTTATCAGAACTCATCTTTCCTGTCGTATCAGCAGCATGACACTCGAGACACTTTCTTGTGGCTTCCTGGCACCACTCATCTCCTTTTACTCCTTCCTGTTTATCAGAGCATGTTTTTGTGACTCTACAAGCCCCAAACATCACCAACGCCCAGGATCTAGTGTGGATGACCAACACAGCAGAGGCCACCTGAAACAAGTTGAACATAGAAACACTGACTGTAATGGATGAAAACAATCAATATATAAAAAGCTGTAAGTTCATAATGATACTTTAAAAGATCTCACTGGTCATCTCTGGCGGTTGCTAGGGCACCAACTCAGAGCAGGCTACTTGATAAATAAAGGGAAAGAATCAAGCACTGTCTTCCCTGTTCAGACTCATTTCAGGGCAAAGGCAATGAGGGAAAGTTCTTTATAGAAGAATCACAGGTAATAAATGCAGGAAAAATGATAGAAGTGGACAATTAATCCTTAATGAAATAGTATTCAATCGGTATAGGCAATGCTCAACAGCTACTAAGATAATTAGGTGAAAGGTTGATAGAGAACTTTATTGGATGGATCAGGCTGACAAAAGCTGAACCCACCGGTCAATCTTAATAACACTAAGTGTGAGGCAATCAGACATTATGTGCCTCCTCATGTGCGAAATAGGAAGTACACACTACCACTTATAATGTAGTCTTGCAAAAAAAACAACAAACACCTTGAATCTGAATCTAAATAAGCTCTAGATCTGATCACCAGTTTACATGAAATACAGATAGAGGATCATGTTAAATGACGTTTTTGAGAATACAGTAATCTGGGTTCAAAATGTTGGACAGTATATAGGACAACTGACCCAGTTTCAACAAATGAATGAGAGGGGTAAAAAGTGTCTGTGTGGTGGTGATGGTGGGGGTGTGGGTGCCATAGTTTAAAAGAAACAAAGACATATCAACTGAATGCAATGTGTGGACATCGCGACGATGGAAGAGAACTACAGAAAGGTTTCAGATGATATTAAGGAATCGCTGTTACTTGTGTTGAGTAGGATTATGGCCCTGGATGTGTCTGTTAAGAGATCCATACTGAAGAATTTACAGGTGACATGACATAATTGCTAAGATTTGCTTCAAAATACACCAGGCAACAACACAACACAAAAATAAATAGCCGAATGTTGATAATCGCTGATGTTGGGTAATGGATGCATAGGAGTTCATTTTACTGCCTTCTTTACTTCGGTATCTTTGAAAACTTTCCTAAGATTTCTTTTTTAAGTAGAGGCTACTGACTAAAACCAGGGTTCCAGGGGACATTTCTTCTCGCAGAGCGTGACGTCTACCTGCAGACATCTTTTTGGTTGGAAGTAAGTGCTCTGTGCCTCATAGAAAGCCCCTTTGATGGTGGACTATTTGGGACTATTTGACCCATTTTCTGGTGAGCATTGGTACTCATACTAACACTTAAAATTTGGGAAAGATTCATGCATCAGCTTAACCTATCTCTTGAGTAGATTGTGGAAGGGTCTCATGTCACAAGAAACATCTTTTCATAGACTCAGAAGAATCCTTAAGAATTCCTTTAATACACCTCATCAGCTCTGGGCAGGCCCTTTCACCCACGTAAGAAATGTTTATTAAGTACCTATTATGTACCAAGCACAGTGCTGAACAAGACAGGGTCCTACCCACATGAAGGTTATAGGTTAGTGAACTACACCTAAGCCACCCAGCCTCTTGAAATCCTTTCTGAACAGGACAAGCAATAGCAGATTAGTAACACGCACATGAAGTACTCTGCCAAGTATTTTATTTCCGTTATCTCATTTCATCCTATACGGATGAAATTAACAGCCCTATGAGGTAGGTAGTTATTATCTGTATATGCAGGTGCCAGTATGCGCACACCTGTGTATAATCACAAACTGAGGCATCGTACAGTTAAATATCTTGCTCAAGGTCATTTCCCTAGTAAGTGGCATGGCTGGGATTTGAACCCAGGCAGTCTGGCTCAAGCGCTCTCTCCAGCCTGCATTCTCAGGCACCACACTCTAAACCCCAAGGTGTCCTGACTGGAGTTAGCTCAGTGTGAGTACCAAAGAGATCCTGGCTGGCCTGGCAAGCAAGGGCAACAAGAAATTCTTGGCCAGCTGAGCAGACATACTCTTCACCTCTCAGCACCAGGAATGAGAGCTGGGAGGAACCAGAGTCCAGGCAAAGGTCAGGTCACGACCTGGCCCATCTCAGCAGGTTACAGACGATGACAGTGCATCACTAGCAGGGTGGCCAACAGAGCTGGGGTCTCCAGGACAGGTGGCCCTTGCTCTATAACAATAGGCCCATGGGCTGTGGTGTTGGTTGGATGGAGGCAGTGGGCAACACCCCTCCCAAGCTACATGCAGATGCCCATCCTGCACCTCCAGTCCCTGCACAGAGAGGCCGGGGGTGACTGCTTCCTCCATACCTTTGTGGCTCCAGTTGGCAGAAGAGCCCCTTGCTCTCTCACATCCCTGAAGCTCATCGTGCTGTGATGCTCTCGAGGACTCAGTCCTAAAGCCCAGCCCTCAGCCTGGACACTTTGGCGCCCCCTGAGGAGTCTTATGGCGGCAAGGGCATCTCACATGCCCCTCACCTCTGAAACACCAATGATCATTGCCTTGAATGGATTCTGATATTCCCATCAGGTCAATGGTCCCTTTTTCTCCCCACTGAATTCATATTTGGGATCGAAGGGGCTGACAACTGATCTCTGCTTAAAACTTGACCAAATTCAAAACAGGGTAGAGGCTAGGATGGTGATGCCAGCCATCATCGGGTCCGTAAAGCAATGCTGTGTTTAAGCCCTGACGTCCCTCTGAGGCCTAGAGCCAGAGAGATCAGAGGTGCCAACCGTCTTCTCTCCAGAACGGAATCGTCTCGACTGGAGCTCCTGGGTGTCCAGCACTGAGCTGCCTTCTTCCCAGACTCCCTGTGTCCTCAGTGTCCTCTAAGCAGGCAGCCTTCAGCCAGAGGCTATCACAGAATGAACGGCCTGACCTCACCAGGGCAGCCTTGGGCCGAGGCTCCTCCACTCTCTCCCATGCTGGGGACTGCCTCCCCACTCAAGCTTAGGAAGGAGTGTTTTGCTAAGCTCTTTTGCTTTCTTTCAGTCATTCAACAAGTATGTGCTGAAGCACTGCTGCTGCCAGGAACGACCCTGGTGAAAGGATGAAATCAAAGGCAGAGCAGCTCTATTCCCCCTAATCAATCCTGAGCACATTTCCACAGCCAGCGACCACGGCTGCTGAAGGCAGATTCAACGTGGAACACGGCAGCCACCAACGCCTTTGTCCCCACCAAGAAGCCGCCTCCTACATGTAGTGTGATGGCAGGCAGCCAAGACACAGAACACACAAAGGGTTTCATTTGAGAAGGAACTAACAATTAGTCGGGACACATACTGAGGATATTCATTAACATTAAGCAAATATGCTGGTCATTCAATTCCCTAAAGCAGCTTTCCTAACAATTTTCTGTTTCCAAACCCGACTCTGATGGTCTGAAGCAGCAAGGCTGCAGGCCACAGTGCGGTCAACTAAGACGTTAAGTAGAAAGAATTTCCACAGTAACAGTATTAAGAACATGTTTAAATTATAAGTTTATTGAACATAAGATAGTAGGCTGCTGTCAAATAATGTAAAGACAGCCTGCATTTCACAGGCAAAACCACATTTTCATATGATTCAATGTAAGTTTCCTTTTCTTTTTCCTTCCCTCAGGGGAAAGAAAATCTATATTGACCAATTCAAGTGCAGCATGAGATAATCAGTTATTAATCAAAGAAAGTCAATATAGTAAAAAATAGTCTAATCAATGGAGTCTTTGCAAAAAGTTTTATCATTTAGGTCTGTCAGTTGGTTTTTCTGTTATTCTCCAGTGGGTCACTTAGTTCACAGCCTTAGAAAATAAGACTGAATAGACGTAAATTCATCTGGCCACAAGTCATATAACAGAATATCTGTGATTGTTCTGGGTGGCTCTCGGAGCTTTCTCTTGTCTACCTCTGCCCGCTCGCTACCACCACTTCTCAAAGCAAATGTGTTCTTTGGGAACATGGCTGTTTTCCAGTTGCTTGGAGAAAAAATCTGTCATTGGAGGTGGGCCACAGATATAGAACAAAGTCTCTTCTGAAATATGATCTCTTATCTCCTTCTCCGTTAGTCTTCCTTCTATCAAGAAACAGAATAAACACCAAGTGAAGCCCGACATGTTTGTATTGAAATGAGGAAGGTCTAACGACAATTCAGCAACAGTGTTTTTATTTTCAGTAACTCAAGGTTAGTGAATCTAGTCTTGAGTCATGCACATGATGCCTCCTGTTGGCATCTGGGGCCCGATCCTAGCAGAGGGCATCTCCAGGTTTCCTCAACTTATGGCAAGTAAAGTGGGAAATGAATCACAATGCCTTCTTCAGACAGGGCCAGTTGGTTTACTGATCTTTTGGGAGAGATTCAAAGCAAAGAACAAACTGTTTTGTGCAAAATCCTACAGGCAGGGGAAACCACAAGTAATTTAACGGCAAACGGCATTGATTCAGTCAAAGCTGGAATAGAAATTCTTTGTATGTACTATATATACTACAGTGAAGATACTAATGTCCCCTAAAAAATGTGGAAAATAAAATTTTAATTTAAGCAGTAGGAAACCTGTATGTAGTAAGTAAATCCAACTAACTCTCTCATTTTTCCATCATGAATCATCTCTCAATTCCTCAAGTACTGACATTCCCAGCCAGCAAGTCCCAACAACAAAGCATCTACATTCAACCAATTGGTTATGTCCACCATGTAACTCCGTGGAGATAGTCAAAATATCTGTAGGGGACTCACCCGTGATGTATGGCTTCAGCGCTGCGCTGATTTGTGTAGTCTGTTTTGTAACATGCAAACTGCATGCAATCTTCTCAGGAAATTCATTTACTAGATCGAGGATATTTTTCTGGAATGTCAAACATATTTGGTCACACTACAATTTTAAAAAATCAAAACAGGTGTGCATAACCACTGAAGTCGAACCTCGCCTCCCATTCTGCACACGTCGGCTGCTCTTGCTCTCCACTTAGAGAGATACTGTTTGCAGCCGAGCCGGCCGGAGCATTTGGAGTACACAGGGCTATTTGGCTTTAATTGAAATCTGAACATGCTAACAAGCATATTACTAAGTCTCCGGGAGTTTTTTTCTTTTCCCTTTTTCTCAAGCCTTAGCAATTAAGCCGCAGTTTCATTGACCACAGTTGTGTCTTTTAACTGTTTCTGTTCTTTTGTTCATCCTTCCAGCTGCAAAACAATCCAGAATAAAAGCTTAGTTTCAACAGATGCAACTGATGGGGGTTTCATTTACCCAGCTGGGCCCACACTATGTAGGTCTCACCTACTCCTGTTAACACATGAGCCCACTTGTAAGTCGCTTGACTCTTTACAGAGTCTCACGGCCATGGTGACATTTCTGTTCATCCACTTGCAGACTGAGGCCCACCAGCCACGCCCTAATCTGTCGTGTCACTGGGAGCCTCCTCGACACTAGCTATTTTAATTGTCCTGGGTGAGATGTGTTGGTTTAATTCTCATTCAAACATGGCTAAGCTTCGTCAGGCCTTTTGGTTGAACAGTTACAGAGAAGACAGAACTGAGAGAGGAAAAGTTCTGTGGACAATTAATATCATGATACAAGCTTGCTCACAGCAAGCTATGAAACATACCTATCTCCCTTACCTTAAACAGGAGTTCGCTGGTATTTTTTGCACTGTAGAATAGTTTTATTGTTCCTATATCGTATCCACTCCCTTTGTTTGCTCGTTCTCTGAGGAGATCTGCCGAGTGCAGCAGGATGGAAAGCAGAGGGTTAATTCCGACTCCTCCTGCAATCAACACGAGGTTTCTAGAGGCATCTGCAGGCTGAGGGTCAAAGAAGAACTCTCCACCCACTCTCACTGCCACTTCAGAGTCAAGTGTACACTATGGCAGGAAAGAAAAGATCTTTTACTCTTTTGAAGCACAGGTCTTAAACCAGATGTTCTTCTTTACTAAAACTGACTGCATCTATCTCCTGCATTTTTATCAGTATTTAGGACTACGTTTGCAGCTTGCTCTCAAGTTTCCCAGGGCCCTGCGAATCGATCCTACTTGTCCATTATATAGGTTATTTGCTACTCTGCCTCCGTGATCCACACTGCGCAGCCACGCCAGTACTCGCTTGAGTAACTTTGCCATTTGGTAACTTCTTAGGTGAGGAACTGGGTTGTGGAGAGGCATTGGGCTCGGGAGACAGCTCTGAAGCACGAGTTTCCTTTTCTGAGTGCTGCTCCTGTTCTGATCAAAGCTACGGAGCTAGAAGCAGGACAGGGTAAGTGCCACTGACTGTGGCTGCTCTGGACTTAATCAGGAGTGTGGATACCAGGGGTTTCCTCCTAGTCGCCAGCAGGGCACAGCCAAACCTGCTCCATAGACTGAGGCCAGCACTGCAGCACCATTCAGTACTTTCCATGTCTCCCTGGAGCAAGAACAGGAAGGCTGAGGGAGTACCACATACAGTAGGGGG